GAATTAATACTTGCAATATAGAGTGGGTAATCAATTTCAATTTTTTTATTATTTCAGTAGTGCCGTGTATTACATAAATAAAGACAAGGTTTGTAATCCCAGTACCCAAATGCAGTTTTTACTCCGTCAATACTGCAGAGATCAAGTGAGTCTATGTATATACGTATTTATCTGCCTATTTTCAGTAGAAAAGTCAAGCCATTTATTTTCTTATAAAAGAACACTTCCTTTTTTAAAAAATTGGTTCTTAATTCAAGTACTCCGTACCAATCTGCTGCTCACAACAGTATAAATATACTTTTATTTATATACTATATATTATATGGCTATTTCTTAACTTTGTGCTTAGTATAATATATATATTTATACATATAATACAATATACACATACATAGATATATACATATATACCATATATACTCCTCTGTGCTGCTGTGCTTACACACAAATATATGTATACATATACATATATATTTATTTATATAAATTTATTTCTGATATATCTCTTTACCTGAAATAATAAATAAAAAAAAAATATTTATTTGTATTATCAGGATAATAAGAGTTATAGGTATACATAAAGAGGTATGGAGGTCTGGTATATTTAATGATGATTGGCACATAGCTGTCTACTGGCTGCTCACTTGGTTTGGAGCCGTGTTGAGTGCATTGACATTGGATGTGTTAGAATTAGAATTAATTAAAGAAGAAAAAATGCGTAAAAATGTATTTCCGTGAAATAAACCCGGCGCTGTCTGACAGCATGAGGAATGGTGCGACTTGCTAAGGCCAAATAAAGAGATGGCCTCTCAATAACCTTTCAGCTGAAGCCCTTCAAGAATCAAGAAGTCTCTATTCTTAGTTGTCCACTAGCAACGACACAATCAGCAGAGACAGGTGCTGTTGTGAAATAATTGTGACCCTCTATGATATGGATTAGCAGGCCGTGAGGAGGCCTCTCACAGTAATGATTACTATTCTTACAGCGCCACATTCAGTTTATATAAGCAACAGTTTCCCTGATGTGCTAGTTTACTGCCTCTGTCTGACAGGAGTCCTTGCACCTCCTCCTTTACAAATGAAAAAAATAAATAAATAACTGGACATTAGACACAGTTAAATCATAAAGTACAGAATTACATACGGCAGCAGCCAATCACAATGCCAGGTCAAGAGAAGAGAACTAATTGAATTAAATAATAAGCCTGTCAATTGATTCATGATTTCACTGTGATTAATCACTTGATTTTCCAGATTTTACTTAAAATGTGCAACTGATTTTGTGCAAGTTAATCGCACATTTTAATCGCATCATGTATCTAATAACCTTATACAAATATGTTTGCTTAATGCAAATTAATGTTTATGTTTTATCGCAATAATTGAAACCATAGTGGTCCAGACTTGTCTAGAGAAGAACCTCAGACTTCAGTTAAACACCCAAAGTTATTATGGGAGGCTATTAGCATGGCAGTACAGAGGACCGTGCTGTTGTTATGGGTTATTATTGCTATTATGTGAATACAATTGCTGCCAATCAATAAATAGTCTGATAGAAATAAATTACACATAAATTATTTCATTCCTGTAATAGCACACACATCTTTGCAACAATGTTTACGCCTGAACCAATCACTGTCAGAGTCAAGTGTTTTAAAGTTCAGGTTTGTCAATTAAAAATAAAGACTAAATCTTCAAAGTGACGCGAGGACTGATCCACCAACAGACTGTAATCACAGCTCAAACTTACTTGATTGCATTATTATTGCGTCATACTACTATTTTATAGTAAACAGTGATCGGACATATTAGTAATGATAATAAATATCATCATAAACAGTACAGGTCCAGGAGGGAAAGAAAAACTGGCAAATAATAATAGCCATTTTACTTTCTTTACCTGCTGTTATATTTAAGAATTTCATTGCTCGGGATTTCTACTGCTGCATTCAAGTGAAGTTCGAAATCCTGTACTTGGGATCAAAATCATGCACTGAACATTCTGCCTAAACCCTAATTATAGTTAATCCTATATTTATATATATTTAAAATTATATTTATACATACTGTACATGTACATATATATATATATACACATATATTTATAGTATAAATATATTTGATATACTGTATATATACTGTATATATATA